CAGATTCGAATTGCATCAAGAAAATTTCACAACATAGACTTAGGTAAAAAAAATCCGGATCTTCAGCATGCTATGTCCTAATACATTAACGACACAAGGTACCTACATATGCATGAACACCTGCACAAACGGGAAATTTTCTATGCATAGACATTGACAATCAAATCATATGGCGAATTCCACATAAAACTACTCAGCAAAGAAGCTCAGAATTAAATTTCACGAGTAATCCTCTACGGTAGATTTGTACCGCCACATTTAACAGCCTACACATAAAAGTGTGTAATACCAACTGTCCTGTAAACCTCCTAACCCCAAAACAGATTCGAACTGCATCAAGAAAATATCATAACAAAGACTTGGATAAAAAAATCCAGATATTCAGCATGCTCTGTCCTAATACATTAACCACACAAGGCACTTACATATGCATGAACACCTGCACCAACAGGAAATTGTGTATGCATAGATATTGACAATCAAATCATATGGTGAGTTCCACATAGAACTACTCAGCAAAGACGAACAAATTTCAATTCCCTAATACAATAGCCAAAACAGAGAGACTAGGTCTTCATATGTATAGTATGATTATTAGACAATGTACAATAAAGGACCAACATTTCTCCTCTATGCTTCCTTGTACAGAAGCATTATCAACTGACACCAAAGAACAAAAACCCAAGTCACCTCCAAAAGATATTTCTCGCGACAAATTGGAAATTTATGGTGAGATACAATCATCACTAGGGAATAGTTACAGGCCTTCGTCGACTTTCCTTTTCGACCGAAGGACCAAGAGCTAATTATTGAGACATTGGACTATCTGGACACATTGCAGACATCTCTCACTTTAGTTAAACGCACCATAAAACATCGAAACATCGATAAGATCACGCAATTTTTTTTCTTCCTTGCAAAACCTGAATGAAAGTTTTTGCATTCCTTCTCACCTTCTCATTATCATCCTTCAGTAAACCAACACATATCTCAAACGCCCCTAATTTTAGAGCCTCCAAACACATCTTTTCACTATAACTACACAAAGAACTCAAAGTCAATAGGGCATATTGCACACCCCTTGTACTCCCATTTCTCAAAACCTCAATCAAGATATCCAAAAACCTGTCAAATCTCATAATTTCTTCTCGGGCCAATCTGCATTTTGCCAATAGACCCAAAACTTCTACCGCACGCTCCAGGCCTGAATTAGCATTCTGGATTAATATCGGAACGGCGTTGTTCTGTACAGCCCGAACCCGGTTGTCAGGGAATGAGCAGAGAGTGAATAAAGCCGTGGCCGCTTCTTTCCTTTCTCTTGAATTTCCTGTGCAAAGGAGAGCTAGCAAGCCAGGAATGGCATCCGGATCAGACCCAATAGTGACCTTATTGACCTCCACCACCGCCAGGCTCGTCAGAACCGTGGCCGCCACCGCCCGCGAGTCTCCATCCCCGCATCGTAAGGCGGATACCACCTTTCCGATGACGCCCTCCGCCACCAATCCCACCTTGTTGTCATCATCTAAGCTGAGGTTCAGCAGCAGGTGCAAGGCCTTCTCCTGGAGCCCTGACTCGCTCGAGTTGACACAGACCAACACAGCCGACACAGCCCCCGACTCAGTCAGCCTCCGGCGAATCCCAGAGTCTCGCTTAGACATCCGGCTCAGCTGGTCAAGCGAATTCAGCTTGGCGTCCAAAGGAGACAGAGAAGAAACAAGGGTTTGTATAAGATTTTTCGGTTCGGAAGAGCAAGGCTGGGGTTTAGGCAACGAAACAAGGGTATAATTGGAAATGAGGCTCCTTAAGGCATGGTTAGGAATTAGCGTAGGCGGTTCCGGCAACGGCAGTTTACTAACCGGACAGGTGCGGTGGCCGGAGTCCAACCACCGTTGAATTGAGACCCGATCAAAGGTGTGACCCGACGAGAGTATAACCGGGTCGGACATTATCTCTAGCGAAATCGGACATTTGAAGTCATCCGGTAACTGGTTGGCCATTCTAGGTTTCTCTATCTACAATTGTGTGTAGATACAGATTTAGTGTATCTATATGTTGGTGGTGGTGAGAGAGTTCAAAGGGTTTACGAGGTTCAGGTAAGGGCTGGGGGAGCGTTTTACTTGCACCTGTGAAGATTAATATGAGGTGGATGAAGCTCTACATTTGCTTTTGATAACTGCTAACTGATCCACTAATGACATTTTTACCCCTAGTATAAAAAATAAAACCTAATTTTCCAAGAGAAATATATCACAATTTGATTCGTTCTAACAATGAAATTTTTTTTACCTTGCCCATTTACGAACATGAGATCAATTCTACCAATCTGCATTGATATATTATTTTACATTGAACAAGAATAAATTTTCGTTGCCTTTTAGGAATCCTTCAGTCCATTTTACATTGTCTTTTTTCTTTTTAACTCGTAAGTCATGTAAAACTCTAATTACTCTAAATTAGGAATGACAAATAGATCGAGCTGCTCATCGACTTTGGGCTCGATTCATGGACCACTCCAACAAGTCATGGATTAAACCGAACTCAATTCTTTCACGAACCGATTTGTCTTGAGCTTGTGGGTCGACTCATTTTTTTTTTATTTATTTTCCTAATTTCTTAAAAAACAAAAAATATGAGCCGACTTGTGAGCTGGCTTGGGCTTGGCTCGTGTCCACGAGTCAAAGTGGTATGTCCATTAGAAAGAGGACCTCTACTCTACAAACTAATAACACATCATCTTTGGTGTAGGAATATATTTTTTTTTCTGGGGAGTCCTGGACAACCATGTAAGCCATTCAGTTAAAAAAATTGATTGTGTTACGCCCCTATCTGAACCGCTTCGGAACGCCCACCACCACACATTCCGACCTGATATACACCCGTCCGAAATGTTTTCGAAGTGATATCACCAACGTCAACAACCTAATAGCACACTGCGAGGTATAGGCGATCCTGCTGAACTGACCGAAACTCTTCGCCTCAAAGGCTGAGGCCAAGCGGACCTCTGTCAAAAGATCCGCCGCCAATTTCAGAAAGAGATTTGTGCCAAGATCCTCTCTACATCTAAGGTTTAAATTGATTTGATATCTCCATGAGACTAGTTGATGTGACTTATCAACTTTATATTAATTCAACTTAGGAGAAACAAGCTGTCCGTCCACTCTACAGACGCGGTCGATTGACGCCTATGAGCGGACGTCTCATACCGTCAGATGTATACACGTGTCCCACATCTAACGGTTCATCCGACCTATAAATACCCAAGGTTTGGCAAGAGGCAAAGGTAATGAAACTCTTACTACATAGCATTCCTTAGCAAGTTTATATATTTTCTCCTCTCCCTTATTATTATTTTGCACAATCCCTGAGTACTGTTCCGACCATCTAAACCTGACTTGACCGTCGGAGTGTATACGGCCGCCACACCCCTGCTGGTCCTGACCGTGTGCGTCTGACCGTGCGTTGATTGTGCGCAGGAAGGAATACTTGGAGTAGCTATTGGTTGGCCACGTGGGACGTCCAATTTTCGAGGTCAACAAATTGCATTAAAGATTGTAACCCACCAATGAATGTACAACAATATTTTTGTGTTTGTTTCTTAACTTCATCAACATCATAAGAAACATATAAAAGTGGGAGGATTTAAAGGGCTGGCCTATCCAATTTCGTTTTATGGCAGAAAATTGATATTTAAAAGATAACTCAATCTCAAAAGAAAAGAAAAGAAAAAAAAAAGAAAAAAAATAGAAGTAGAAATGAGTCCAACCCCGAATTCACCTCTATGTATATTGCAAATATTATAGATTGGTGTTGAAAAAATATGTGTTGAACAACCACAAGAACCCATCATTGTGAATGTCACAACATTATTCTTGTATTCATTTCAAAACATTATCAACCGGGTGAGACACCTATAAATTGTCATACATAGCTCTCGTTAGATTCTGATTTTTTACCCAAAAAAAATCAAATTTTGATCATTATTTAACATGATTAGTCAATCGTTATTTTTGACTTCTTCCGTCACATGTGAGACCCACTATTCTCTTTAACGGTCAAAAGAATTGATTCTCACAATCACTATTGAACAGGTCCATAGTTAGAAAAACTGTTGTAATAGCTTCATTAATATATATAAATTGACTTTAATAAATGTGGAAAATCAGTTACTGATTTTTTATTTTAATAGAGAGGAAAAGGGTAATGTTGAGAATTCAACGGTCTTCTCGTGAATTGCCCGAAACAAATGGGAATATGGTGGCATCTTTTTCAAAGGGTTACTTTGTGAAATAACTCTATTCTCTTAACTATTCCTATTTCTTTTTATTTGAAAATGACACCAAAAGCCAGGTTTCACGGACTTGCTTAGTAAAAGTCTACTTTCAGAGCTAATTTCATGACATCTAATAAAAACACACTTGATCTCCCTCCATTTTCGGTAAGTATAATAAACCTAAATTCAAATAATTTTCATCTAAACGCATTTTTCATTTTTCCTTTCTTCACATATTCTTCTCTCTTCTTCTTCTATAAAGTGAGACAATATTGACGGTTAAATGAAATGACAAAAGCAGTAGTCCGATGAGTAGCTGTGGAGGTATTGGTAGGTGAAGAGTGATCATGAATATTGAAAGTCAAAACATCTCATACGAATATTTGATGGTTTGAAAACAAACAAGCTTATTTATCTAACATAGTATTTTCGATACATCATTTTCACATGTATAATAAATTAGGAGTGTCAATGAGTCGAGTCGAGCCAACTTAGGCTTTTTAGGGTGAACTTTTTTTGGCCCGAGCAAAAGCTCAACCAAAAAATTAAGGCTCGACCCGAGCTTTTAGCTCCGGCCTTATCGAGCCGAGTTCAATTCTTTGGATTTATTTTAAAGTTTTTTTATTCTAAAAGTAAATTTTTACTTTTTCATTTTTTTTTACAAGACGGCCCCACGCGAGCCGACTCCCCAAAAATGGGGCTTGGCTCAAACCTTGGCTCGGTACCTTCGAACCTCGAACCGAGCTGACTTGGACTTTTTTTGGGCGGAGCTACAGACGGATCGAGCTGACGAGTTTGATTGCTATCCCTATAATAAACTTATTTTTCATAAAATGATTTAAACTTTATCATAATGTTATGTTTAGTCATTTCATCAAAATATTTTGCTCTTGTTTGACATCTACTCTTGCTAGGTCAAAGTTTTATTTCTCATTCTTTTTTTTTCAAATGCATATTTTCAACCACCCGTTCTCACAAAAAAATATTTTTCATGTAAATTCAAAATTTTTCTTACTTTTTAACCTCACATTTTCCAAAAATTCACCATTCAGAAAAAAATTCTTTCCATAAAAAA